AGGCGCTCCCGTTACCCCTCCTCCAGCCCTGGGCAGCCACTAGCCAGGCTTCCGCCTCGATGGATTTACTGTTTTGGCTATTTCATGTAAATGGAATCATACATGTGACCTTTCATGTTTGGCTTCTTTCACTTAGCAAAATGTTTTCAAGATTCATCCATGTATCAGAACTTCATTATTTTTATGGCTGAATAATATTCCCTTGTATGGATGTACTGCAATTTGTTTATCCATTCATTCATTGATGGACATTGGTGTTGTTTCTACCTTTTGAGTGTTGTGAATAGAGCTGCTATGAACATTAGTATACAAATTTTTTTTTAAACACCTCTTTTTAATTCTTTTGTGTATATATTTAGGAGTGTAATTACTAGATCACATGGCAAGTCTATGTTTCACTTTTTGAGGAACTGACTGTTCCACAGCGCCTGCACCGTTTTACATTCCCATCAACAATGAACGAGCATTATAATTTCTCCCCATTCTCCTCAACACTTGTTATTTTCCAATTTTTCTATTTTGGCCATCCTTGTGGGCATTAAGTAGTATCTCATTGTGGTTTTGATTTGCATTTCTCTAATGACTAGTGATGTTAAGCATCTTTTCATGTGCTTGTTGGCCATTTGTATGTCTTCCTTGGAGAAATGCTGTTCAAGTCCTTTACCCGTATATAGATTGAGTTATCTTTGTTGTTGAGTTGTAATAGTTTTTTATATATTCTGGGTACTAGACCCTTATCAGATATATGATTTGCAAATATTTTCTCCCATTCTGTAGGTTTCTTTTCACTTTCTTGATAGTGTCTTTTGATTTACAAAATTTTTTAATTTTGACAAAATCCAAATTATTTTTTCTTTTGTTGCTTATGCTTTTGATGTCGTATCTAAGAAAGCATTGCCAAATTCAAGGTCATGAAGATTTACCCCTGTGTTTTCTTCAGTTTTATATTTTTAGCCTTATATTTATGTCTTTGATCCATTTTGAGTTGATTTTTGTATATGATGTGAGGTAGGGGTCCTACTTCATTCTTTTGCATTAGGATATCCAGTTGTCCAAGCACCATTTGTTGAAGAGACTGTTTTCTCCTCCACTGAATTGTCTTGACACTCTTATCAAAAATCCGTTGACCATAGATGTATGGGTTTATTTCTAGACTTGCAGTTCTATTCCATTAGTCTATATGTTTATTCTTATGCCAGGACCTCATTGTTTGATTCCTGTAGTTTTATAGTGTGTTTTGAAATTGGAAAGTGTGAGTCCTCCAACTTTGTTCTACTTTTTAAATATTGTTTTGGTTATTTGGGGTCTCTTGATATTCCATATGAATTTTAGGATCAACTTGTCAATTTTTGCTAAAAAGGCCATTGGGATTTGGATAGAGATTGCACTGAATCTGTAGATTGCTTTGGGGGTGTATTGGCATCTTAATAACGTTATGTCTCCAATCCATGAACACAGGATGTGTTTCCCTTTATTTAGGTCTTCTTTAATTTCTTTCAGCAATGTTTTGTAGTTATTTGTGTACAAGTCTTTCATCTCCTCAGTTAAATTTATTCCTAACTATTTTATTCTTTTTGATGCTATTGTAAATTAAATTTCTTTTAAAATTTCCTTTTGGAATCATTCATTGGTAGTATTTAGAAATATAACTGACTTTTGTGTCTTGATCTTGGAGCCTGCAAATTTGCTGAATTCGTTTATTAAATCTAGTCCTTTTTTGTGTATTCTTTGTGATTTTCTCTATATAAATCATGTCATCTGTGAATAGAGATAGTTTACTTCTTCCTTTCCAAGTTGCGTGCATTTTATTTCTTTTTCTTACCTAATTGCTCTGACTAGAACTTCCAGTAAAATGTTCAGTAGAAGTGGCAAAAACTGGCATCCTTGTTTTGTTCCTGAAGCTTTCAGTTTTTCACCGTTCAGTATGATGTTAGCTGTGGGTTTTTCACATATGACCTTTATCATGTTCAGGAAGTTTGCTCTATTCCTAGTTTATTGAATGATTTTATAATGAAAGGGTGTTGGATTTTGCCAAATGCTTTTCCTGCATCAATTAAGATGATCATGTGGTTTCCCCCTTCGTTCTATTAATGTAGTATGTAGTATGTTATATTGATTGATTTTCATATGTTGAACCACCCTTGCACTCATGGGATAAATCTCACTTGGTCATGATGGACAATTCTTGTAATATGCTGCTGGATTCAATTTGCTAGTATTTTGTTGAGAATATTTGCATATATATTCATAAAGGATATTGGTCTGTAGTTTCTTTTTCTTGTGGTGTCCTTGTCTGGGCTTTGGTGTCATGGTAATGTTAGTCTCATTGAATGAGTTAGGAAGTGTTCCTTCATCTTCTATTTTTTCGAAAAGTTCAAGAAGGATTGGTGTTAGTTTCTTCACATATTTTGTAGAATTCACCAGTGAAACCATCTGGTCCAAGGCCTTTCTTCATTGAGAGGTTTCTGCCTACTGATTCAATCTCTTCTCTTATTATGGGTCTGTTCAGATTTTCTATTTCTTCTTGAGTCAGTTTTGGTAGTTTGTGTGTTTCTAGGAATTTGTCCATTTCCTCTAGGTTGTCTAATTTCTTGCCATACGATTGTTCATAGTATTCCCTTAAAGTCCTTATTATTTCCATAAGGTCAGCTCTGTGGTAATGTCCCTACTTCATTGTCAATTTTGTTGATCTTTCAAAGAACTAACTTTTGGTTTTGTTGATTTTCTCTATTGTTTTTCTATTCCCTCGTTTGATTTTTTACATTCCTCTATTATTTCCTTCCTTCTTCTACCTTGGGGTTTAGTTTGCTCTTTTTCTAGTTCCTTAAGATGTAAGTTAGGTTATTGGTTTGAGATTTTTCTCCTTTAGTAACATAGGCGTTTCTAGCTATAAATTTCCTTCTGAGAATTGCTTTTGCTGCATCCCATGAGTTTTGGTATGTTGTGTTTTCATTTACATTCATCTCAAAATAATTTCTAATTTTCCTTGTGATTTCTTCTTTGATCCGTTGGTTAAGAGTATGTTGTTTAATTTCCACATATTTGTGAATTTTTCAGTTTTCCTGAAAACTGAATTGATTTCTAGCCGCATTCCATTGTGGCTGGAGAATATGTTTTTCATGATTTCAGTCTTTTCTAATTTATTGCAACTTATGTTTTGGCCTGACATATTGTCTATCCTGAAGACTGTTCTACATGCACTTGAGAGAAATGTGTATTCTGCTGTTGTTTGGGTGGATTATTCTGTATATGTCTGTTAGATTAGTTAATTTGTAGTGTTGTTCAAGGTCTCTCTTTTCTAATTGATCTTCTCTCTGATTGTTCTATCCATTAGTGAAAGTGGGGTATTGAAGTCTCCACCTGTTATTGTAGAACTGTCTATTTCTCCCACCAATTCTGTCAATTTTGCTTCATATATTTTGGGGCTCAGTTGTTAGGTCTGTGAATGTTTATTATTACTATATCTTCTTGAGAGATTTGACACTTACATCAATATATAATGTCCTTCTTTGACCCTTGTAACAAGTCTTGACTGAAAGGCTATTTGGTCTGACATTAGTGTAGCAACCTCAGCTCTTTTTGGGTTACTATTTGCATGGAATCTCTTTTTCCACCCTTTCACTATCCACCAATGTGTCCCTTTGGATCTAAAATTATCTTGTGAACAGCATATAGTTGGATCCTGTGTTTTTAATCCATTCTACCAATCTCTGCCTTTTAATTGGAGTTCAAATTAATTACTGATAAAGAAGGACTTCTACCATTATTCTGTTTGTTTTCTATATCTTGTCATATCTTTTTTGTTTCTTATTTCCTCCTTTTGTGTTTAATTGATTTTTATTACTGTACTATATTGATTCCCTTCTCATTTCCTGTTCTGTATATTTTTTAGTTATTTTCTGACCGGTTGCACTGGGGATTACAATTAACAACTTAAAATGATAACAATCTATTTTGAGTTAATACCAACTTAGCTTCAAGAGTGTACAAGAACTCTGTTCCTATACAGCTCTCTTCTTCCCCTTTAAGTTGTTATTGTCACAATTTACATCTTTATATATTGTATGATCACTAACAGAGATTTATAACTATTGTTTTATGCATTTGTCTTTTGTATAGGAAAATAGAAGTTATAAACCAAAACTACAATACCGGCTTTTAGATTTACCTGTGTAGTTACCTTTACCAGTGGTCTGTATTTCTTCTTATGGTTTAAGTTACTGGTTAGTGTCCTTTCATTTCAGCCCGAAGGACTCTGTTTTCTGTTTCTTGTAGGGTAAGTCTACTAGTGAGGAGCCCTCTCAGCATTTGTTTACCTGGGAATGTCTCCTTTATTTTTTGAAGGATAGTTTTGCCTGATATAAAATTCTTGGTTAACTGTTTTATTCTTTTAGCACTTTAAATATGTCATCCCACAGCCTCTTGGCCTCTAGGCTGTCTGAAAAGAATTCAGCTGTTAATCTTGTTGAAGATCCCTTATACTTGACATGTAGCTTCTCTCTTGCTGTTTACAAAATTCCCCCTTTGTATTTGTCCTTTGATATTTTGATGAAAATGTTTCTCAGCGTGGATCTTCTTGTGTTGATCCTACTTGGAGTTGTTCAGCCTCTTGAGTGTGTAGATTCATATCTCTTATCAAATTTGGGAAGTTTTCGTCTTGGATCCTGCAGCTGTAGTATATTAATTATAAACGATCTCAGCTGTGTCAACCCCTCCCCTATGCATGCTTTAGCCAAGGAATCTCCCCACTGGCTCCGGCAGGGGCTATCTCCATTCTACAGACAGGGAAACTGAGTCTCAAGGAGGCGCTTCACAGCCTCTCCATCCATTGGGTCCTTCTGTGAGATTGTTCATCACCACGATGTGCTGGCTGCTGGGCTAGAGCAACGGCCTAGGCCTGTGGGTGCCCCAGGGAGTCCACCCCCTTCATCCTCCCCCTGTCTCAGATGGCAGAGGCTAAGGTTGTTGTCTTTCTCTCTCCCACCCTCAACCCCTGGCAGCTCTGCCACCTCCCCACAATCTCCAGGAAGTGCAGGTCTCCATCATAAACAATTCCAGGTGTAACTACCTGTTTCAACAGCCTCATGTCCTCAAACGAATCCGGGAAGACATGATTTGTGCTGGCGCTGAGGAAGGCGGCATTGACTCCTGCAAAGTGAGTGTCCCTGGCCAAACCAGGGCCTTGCTGGAACCAGGCACCACCCTCCCAAGCCTGGGCCTGAGAGCAACCCGCAAGACCCCCACCAATCCACCCTCAGAGTTTATTCATGAGAAAATAATCCTAGCCCTTATTTATCCAGCCTGTAACACAAGCTTCTTGCTTTAAGTTAATTGTACCTCCTTTGATCCTCACGTGAAACCCAGGGGGTGGAGCCTGTTGCCCCTTTGCAGATGCAGAAACTGGGGCTTATTTGTTTCCAGGGGGAGGAGTAAGATTTGCACCCAGTCTGCCCAGCCCCACAGCCCCTCCTGCTCTCCCGGCCTCTCTGCTGGCCCCTCCGGCCCCACCCCAGGCCTGGCTCACTCATGCTGCTCTCCAGGGTGACTCAGGTGGACCCTTGACCTGTGAAAAGAATGGGCTGTGGATTCAGGTTGGAATCGTGAGCGGGGGAGTGGGCTGTGGGAGGCCCAACCAGCCCGGTATCTACACCAACGTCAGTAGGTACTTCAGCTGGATCCAGACGCTGATGGCCTGCAGCACACCCAAGCCGGACCCCACTCAGCTGCTGCTGCCCCTCGCTCTGCTCTGGGCTGCCCCACTCCTGCAGCTGGCTGTGTGCACCTGAGCCCGTGAGGGTGCAGTAGTTACCACAGCACCAGGCACATTCTCCCAGGACTGTGGGCACCCCAGTGGCAGGACTGCCTGCTGGGTCAGGCCCAGTCCCTTTCTGTCCCGTTCCTAATAAACACGTGTGCATGTTCAATTTGATGCTGTGCAGAGTATCTGTGGACCTGAGTGGCCTCACGGTCACCTAGGTCCTGGCCATCCCAGGACCCATCCCCGGCTCCTAAATCTTCCTCCACCATCTGCACTGTACAGGATTTGGTTGCAAACAGCAGAACCCTCTCGGGTCAGTTCAGTCAGAAAGATAGTTTAGGGAAGGAC